ACAAGAACCGACCTCTCAATACAAAGTACAAGATAACACAGCGGAAGACTTAGATACCAGTGATCCAAACAATCAATATTGCAATGCAGCCCTGAACATACATCATCATCATCGTTACATGGTGTGAATGGGGTCTGGCGCTTCACACAGGAATACTGCGCCAGCCCCTACCATACACAGACGAAGAAGAAGGGGTTAGACGAAGAGGAGGGGAAAGATGGGAATGTCGTCAACACCAAGTCTCGGCACAGGCCCAAATAGTCCCTCGTCGAAATGTCTGAATCCCAAATGTCAAGTCTGGATCCAATGTCGTCAAGTCTCAAGTCACAACTCTGTCTCTCTTAGTCGTAGTCTGAGAAGTCAGGTGGCGAGAGGGTGAGAAGAGATGGTGGACTTTAGAAGAGGAAGAAGAAGAACTCTCTCTCTCTCTGTGTCCAGTACTAACCTGTGAAGTTGGTGCCTTGATGCAGGTACCTCGCAGATGGAGCTGGAGCGATGGCGCCACAGGTAAGTACCGCTGGCCTCCGCCAGTATCTCTCCCAACTCTACGATCTACCACCTACCAGCGCCCAGCGCAGAAGACTACTCTATGGCTATGGGCGCCCAGCGCCGAAGACTACAACTAACGCTGCAGGCTACTGCCTAGCGCTGAAGACTACTGCAGCGCTCCTCCTGAGTGCTGYGGCCGAATTCTGAAGACTACTCGTGCCTACTGACAACTACCTACCCGTGAAGTGCATGGGAACTTCCTATGTACTACCGGGTGCCTCCTGACTGCAGGCGAGCAGTCCAGGAGGCTGCTCTTGCCAATGCCGATCGGAGGCAGGGGCTGCCGCTGCAGCTCCTGCTCAAGCGTGGGGAACAGGCTATTTCTGGCCTGTTCCCGAAACCCTGTTTTCGTGCCTGAGTCTTAGGTAGGTCGAACACAATGAGGGCCTGAAAATGGCCCTCCGTTTCAGGCTAAAAAGCCTCTGGGCCTGAAAGGCCCAGAAATAGGCTGAAACGGAATAGGGCCTGCAGACCCTCGTATTTCAGCTTTCAGGCTGAACGACGGGGCCCTGTAAGCCCTAAGTTTTAGGCTTTTAGGCTGAAAGTGCGGGACTGGCCCTGCAGGGCCCGTGTGGCTACGCAGTATGCCACAGGATGTCTCTTTTCGACCCTGTTATATTGCTTTACAGCCTTCTTTTTGTGGGGATAAGGGAGGGGGAAGGGGACGGAGGGGTGTTGATCTTCGTCTTCTTCTTCTTCTTCTTCTTCTTTTTTGTTTCTTTTTTTTTTTTTTTGCGTGTGTGTGTGCTGTGAAAGCAACCCAAATTCTGTCTCTCATTACCTCCACAAATCATAACAAACCATCCATACCGAAAAACTATAGATAGACAATATAATAGAAAATGCAAGGTTGGCCACGTTTGTGTGGTTCAACGCCAACACACCCATCTGCCGCCGAAGTACCTACCCCATCCGACATAGGTCCGAAAAAACTTGGAGAGCCCTCCACGTCGGCCCACAAAACCACAAAACAGCATAACACAAAAGGCTCCACTAACACTGACCACACATGCCAATGGTCTTAAAAAAAAAATGTAGAGCACTCTGCGACGGCCTAGAAGACCACCACAAATCAGAAATACACCATAGGACCTGTACGCAACACCAAGAGCACCATGAACCTCCCCCTTCCGCGCGCGCATGTGTGTGTGTGTGTGTGTGTGTGTGTGTGCATACTACTATGTTCGTGTGTGTCTACATTTGTGCATTACATATCGGCATGTGTTTTTTTTTTTTTTTTTTTTTTTTTTTTTTTGGAAAACTTTAAATTTTTTTTAGAAGACCTGCGTATACTACAGACCTTTGACCAACTGCTCATTGAACTGCTCATTGAACTGCTCACTGAACTGCTCATTGAACTGCTCATTGAACTGCTCATTGAACCTCCTCAAAAGCCTCTTTACCCCACTCCAGCAAGACATAGCTGTGCCCTATTCCTATCCTACAAGCTAGCACCCTCACTAGTAGGACGCGTAATATCCACCATCTACTTGCAAACTCTCTCTCCACTGCCTTCTTCTTCCAGCGACGAGCCGACCTCCTCCACCACATAGTTCGCCAGATGAAGAGCAGCAGCGAAAGACGAGTTCACAGGGTCCCACACGGAGCAGCAGCATGCAGCAGTCTTCTTCCTCTCGCGACGAGCCGACCTCCTCCACCACATAGTTCGCGAGATAAGGGTTGTTACCCCAAGAGCAGCATACGCAGAAATCCTCAGAAACTCCTCCCTCTTTCCCACAACCCCCTACTCTTCATCATCTTCCGACGAATCGACCTCCTCCACCACATAGTTCGGAAGATTCGAACAATAGACAAAACAACCTAACCCAAACCCATAGTGATTGAGAGTAGACTTCTACTATTCGTCTTCGTTCGACGAGCCGACCTCCTCCACCACATAGCTCGAAGAAGAGGAATAGAAGTAGTCCACTCACAAAAAGGTAGTGATAGGTAAGGAAAACCTAGAATACCACCCACCATCAAGAAAGATTAATGCCCCGGCCTTCAGTCCTCGTACCAGAACGCGCAAGATCTCATACCCCCCTACGCTAGGGTAACAAGGCAACACTAACTGCCCTAGTACCGACCAAGCTTGTTCTAACGGACAGGAAGTGTCTTCCTCCCTCGACAACTTCCTTAGCTGCACAGCCCCCCAAGGTTACAGGGTCACTGCCCCGGCTTCAACTACGTTGAGCAAGGTAGTTATGCCTTCTTCCCTCGGCAAGTTCCAATAATCTCAAGCTCCTAAATCTGGTTACAGAGCGTGAACTCGCTGCTCCAGCACCGACTATTGTCACCCCACCCCGCCCTTCTAAAGACCTACCACCCTAGACATCAATCCACCTCTGCCTCGTGCAGAATCCCTACTCACCGAATGACCTTTTGAAGATTCAGAGAAATTTCGAAAAAACTCAAGACATACAAGAATCAGCCAAACTTTGCAGCTCAAACTGAAGAGTAAAAGGTTACAAACGTGAATTTTCTAAAATAGAAAAATACTTCGAAAGCTTTTAGAAATTTGAAAATTAGAGACAATTAGGAGGCCCATCGAACCCACTTATGGAACTTAAACTTTTAGACCAAAATTAAGAGTCTATATGAGATGTCCAAAACTGGACTCACGATTATATTGAATCAGAAATTCCGTAGGAAATTACTTCGAGAGGATACTTTGGAGACAGAATTAGGATGAAATTGAGAAAGCAGCTTTTAATTGAAATGAAATTGAGAAACCAAGTTAGAAAATCGGTCGAAGGCAGGTTAAGAGTATCAGATCAAGACATATTCTAGGTTACCTAATAGGTGTCAAGACAGACAAAAACTATCCAAGAATCTCCTCGCTAAGAGTCTCGTCAAGGTCAAACTGAAGAGGAACCCCCCCCTTTTTTTTTTTATCTGAATTTTTTTTTTTTTTAATTTTATTCAAATGAAGATTGAGCCCGGGGTCCTCACAGTCTACCTGGAGTAACCGAACCGAACATGCTGAGAACCGGGCTTAGCGTCCCTCATGATGATGATGGTGATGCTAGTAATGATGGACTTCTAGTGATTCTTAGAAAAGTGTAAGATAGTAATTCCGATGATGATGATAATGATGATGATGATGATGATGATGGTGATTAGTATATAAAAGAGACTATGCTATATCAATGATTCTAAGCACCTCCTGAAGCCCACAACAGTTTTCCAAAAAAACTCAAGTATCTAAGGGATTTCCAACATATCCTAACAAAGCTCACCGAAACTGACTTATTCTCTTACAAACTCAACCAGGCCTCACACCCCCTAACTGCTAGGTTACAGAGCAGCGCGACTCACTCCAGCTCCGCCCAGTGTCGTCCTGTGTCAGCAACCCCCAGCTGTCCTTTAGGATGCCCCCCGTATAGCATCCCCAGATCTCTCTGCAAGGCCTCATGCCCTCACCTTCGGCAAGCTACAGGGCATCACCTCGGCTCCGGCCAGCGTCGTTCTGGCAATGGACAGCCAGAAATCCTGAATGTAACAGTCTAAATCCAGTGCAGCTTCGTACAACCCACCGGCAAACCCTCAGAGACCTGAGAAATTCTTCAAACTACCAGGCATAACAGAAGAAAT